GAGAGAGAGAGAGAGAGAGAGAGAGAGAGCGAGAGAAGGGGTGAGAATCGGTAACGAAGAATCTATTACAATGACGCCATTAGCAATACGCAGATCGAGAATGTGACCGAGAGCATAAGCTGCAAGATGGAGCTGAGAGATACACCGAAGAAAGAAGTGTGTTACAACAAGCGTTCCAAATTGAGAAACCTTAGGTATCATTGCAGGAAATGCAACATTCCATATTTTCTTGGATTCCTCCCAAACTCTCTCTCTGAAATCACTACTTATAATATTCCTTCTTTTTCATTGATCTCCCAAGAAGAACTTCCCTAGTCTCCTCCATGCTAATTATTCTTATTTCAAAATATAAAAATCACACGCTACACCATAAGATATAGATGTATAGGTGTATACATAATTAATATATACTTCAACGGGGATTAATTCAACCTAATATTTATATATTATAAACCACACGCCACCCAATCTTCTTAAATGTTTATTAATTAATATACATTTGAGCTGGTGAGGCTTGATATGACCATATGTATCGTTGAACAAGTTTCTATACCCACAAATAGAATATATATATATATGCACATAGATATGTGCATATAATATATGTGTGTGTTAGGTGTAGACTTTAATTTATCTGCCCTTTTGTGTGTTGATATATATATATATATATATATATATGGGATTTGCTGACTATCAATTATATTTCCGTAGAATGCATTTAATACTTACTGAGAGAGAATTTTCAAAAGTATAATTTATGTTAGTTAAAAGAATAGGGGTCACGTAGCAATATTTATATTAATAATTAATTTATAAAATTTGATTCATTAAGAGAGAATTTTCAAGAACTATACTTTAGATTAATTAAAGTAATAGGGGTAATATAATAATACTTACTAATAATAATTAATTTATCATAATTTTATGTTATAATTTAATTTTTAATATTTTATATTCATTTAAATTATTCATTTTCTGCTAATTCCTAACAAAAAAAATTAAAAAATTAAAAAATATTCAAATACTTCAAAAAAAAAAAACAGTTTATATTAAATTTTAAAATAATTAAAATTAAAAAAATTAAAAGAATCAACTCAATTTTGGGTTTGTTTGAGTTGCTTTTTTTTTTAAAAAAAAAAAAAAAAATATTTTTTTTACTACTTTAAAATTTAAAACGTTTATAGTGCCTAAATATAACTTTAATTACTTTAAATTTTTATATTAAAAAGTGCACAAAATATAAAATGTCATAAACTTAAATTTTAAACAAAAAAACGAGAATAAGCTGTAAGAAATCATAAATGGTAAAGATTAATTTAATAATATTATGGTAAAAAAATTATATATTTGAAAGGGTTTTTGAGATGTGTACTGAATAATTATGTTAGAGAGTAAATGTTTTTTTCCTGGGTAGGTTTTAAAAATTGTAAAATTCTGATGTTCTGTAAGAATCAGAGTGAGGGTTAAAAATATTAATATTTTTAAACTAAAGTTTAATGATTAAAGATAATCTTTTCCCAAAGGGTTAGAGTTTAATTCCCCCTCCTAAAGTTTATTAAGTTCATGATATGATGAAAGATATTGTTGTTTAATATATATTTTTATATAGATATTTTATTATTTATTATATTCTCATTTTTTAATGATATGATTTATCTGTTCCCTTCCATTTTCTTGATTTCTATTTTTTTTTTTAAATGTGATTAACTGTTCTCCTATAAATAATGTGCATATTGCTTTTTTTTTTTTTTTAATATGATATTGGTTGACTTTGATTGTTCCTCCAATTTCTTTTTTTTTTTAAATAAAATACACATATTTTATTAATTAAATTATATATATTAGATTTTTTTAAAAATTTTTTTTTAATAAAAAATATAGATTTTATTAATTAAATGATACCTACAATTATTAATACTAAATTTTTATTTAGTGAAATGTAAGTATATAAATTACATATCTTACAATAATAACAACTTAATTTATAAATATATTAATATATTATCTAAAAAATATATGAAAATAAATTAAAAAAAAGATTTTAGATTTTTATACTAGGATATAGCCTCATCACAATTCCTTGTCTTTAACTTTCTCTTTCAAATTTCAGTGAGACATTAGAGGTGTTTATATCGTGAATTCTCTTATAATTAAGTTAGCAATAATTATGGAGGATGATAAGGATGTGTTGGATAGTAGTTCAAATTTTTTTTTTTTTTAAAGAATGAATAATGAGGAAAGAAGAAAAAGCAATCGCTCATTCTAAATTGTTATCTTAATTTAAACAGTATTGCGAACATCTAAGTATAGATAATATTGTAGGAATTCAAGAGTTTGATCAGTAATGATATAGGGATAGTGGCATCAATGGTGCAATGAAACCGTCCTTGATGCCAAAAGCCACCTTGCTCTTTCTATGTTTTTTAGTTTGTCATGAGGATAATTAGTCATTTGATGTACATTTTCACCATGGGACTTTCCTACTACTTAACCCTCTTTCTAGGTTTTTTATGTTTCTTTATGGACTTTTAAAATTTATGTTCTTCTATGTCGTTCTTTGCTGAAAGTTTCTTTAGTTGAATAATATAATACTGTTAAAGATATCCATCCGAAATCATCTCTATATCAACCTCATCTGCTATTTCCTCTCCAGCACACTCATCTGTACCAACTCACGTTTGCGATGCTATCTCATCTAGATTGTCTATCTCCTGAAGATATTATCTTTATCTCAATAACTCCAGCATATTTATCTCATCTATTATGCACATATCTCATCCTACTTTCTAGCATCAACATTATCTAATACTATACTATTTAAATAATAATATCTTCAATGAGAATATAACTGTAACGACCCCGAAAATATCTAAAGGAATAAAAAATAATTAAAGTGCGGAAGCGTAATAAATGTTCAAGGTTTACATTCCTTACACAAATAACTTAAAGTACGAAACAACGTTATGAAATTCACTCTTTTGAAAGAAAAATAAGAATTAGGAAATAAATGGGAAATAAATTAATCTACCATCTACTTGCAATTTTCTTGCGGATCGGTCTCTGGAACCTGATCCTCTTGATATGAAATGGTTAAATAAGGGATGAGGTACACTAGCTCAGTAAGAATATCACACTATATCACCGACTCAGAAGTAAATGTTGGTATAAATCAACAAACTAATGGAGCACTTAATTTAAATAAATTCGTATATAAATAAAACTACTTACCGTTCACTTACCGTAGTGAGATTCATAAAAATAACCTATGTAGACAATTAATATCAAACATATAATAATTTTATGTAAAATCAGCAACATAACACATATCACAAGTCTATATATATATCGTCAATAAAGCAAATAATAGTTGTCACTTTTTCACCAGCCTACTAGTAACCATGGAGGTTCATAGGGATGTCCCCACCATACGCGAACCCTTTCCTTTGAAATCTCAATTACGGGCTGTCCTCATACCCCGTCCGGTATGAGTGCCAAATTATTAAATCTCAATACCCCGTCCAGTATGAATGCCAAATTATCATGTCTCCATACCCCATCCGGTATGAGACAACGTTCACGGTAGGGTTTCTTATGTACCCGGTCCATCTACCATATCTCAGGATATTTAGTAAGGCTGCCGTCTTCATCTATTCATCTTCCCACACAACTTTTTCATTTTTCATTAGTCTCCATTTTTAAAATCAACTATAATCACACAAACAAACAAACAAATATGCATTAGGGAATATAAGTATATCTCAATTTTTCAACTAAATGGTGATGACGTAAGGCAGCAATACATGCATTCAAATAATAAAATTGATAAATCAGATACTATTATGCCTTTAAACTGTAAAATAAATAAACAAAAATCAACAGAGAATAATTTTCGGTTTTGCTTCCATTAGCAATCCGTAATTAATTATGCGCATTTATTAAATTCGCACAAAACACTATCGTATTATTTATTTAAACTTCAATTCTATGATAGAGAATATGGTGAGGGATCTATACTCGATTTGTAACGACCCCGAAAATTTAAAATGAAATATGTGTATTAAAAGATCAAATGCGGAAGCGTAATAAAAATTTTGATTAAACATCTCTTACACTAAAACCAAAAACGTGCTCAAAGTATAAAAGAACAAACTAACTAAAAGAGAAACTCAAAAATAAAATCTATAAATATGACTACGGAGTCTTCAGGCGTCCCCTTCGCCGTCTTCCTGCAGAACGGGCTCGGGAACAATGTCTTCCTGATCTGAAATGATTAAATAAGGAATGAGCTACACCAGCCCAATAAAGACATCACACTATCTTACTGTCACGGAGGTAAAAGTGGGTAGAAAACACAAAAAGACCAATGGAGCATAGTTTACAACAAATTCTTTTATCAATAATAAAATCCTTTACTATCCACTTACCTCGGTGAAATTCATAAAACAATATACGAAAGCAATAACATTATCATCATCATGAAATTATAGGAACTGTATAACATAATACTTATCACGCCTTTTGCATCTCAATCATTACACAACATATTTTTCCTTATTTACCAGCCTACTAGTATCATAGGGGTCCCGCTACCCGTGAACCTTTAACAATTGTAATAAGATTCCAGGGCCGTTCCCATACCCCGTCCGGTATGGGCGCCAAAACTATAGACCTCAATACCCCGTCCGGTATGAGGGTGAAACGGGCCGTCCCCATACCCCGTCCAGTATGGGCGCCAAAACACATAAGGTCTCCATACCCCGTCCGGTATGAGAGACCACAATCCCGGTAGTGTTCCCTACGGACCCGGTCCATCCACCATCTCCCAGGATATCTAGTCAGGCTGACCATATTATACAATTATCAATTTACATAACCTTTCATTCCCCTTTTCCTCAGTCAACATCATCAAATCACACACAAACAAGCAACCAGTAATTCATGCCAAACCAGACAACATACAACATCAGGTTCTCAGTCATTCAACTCATAATCAATAAAACAGTGATATATGCACACGAAACTATGAAATGAAAACATCAGACCTCATATAGCATTTAAAATCGTAAAATAAGCCAAACAACAGCTAACCGACAAACACACCAGACTCGGACTCCATTAGCGACCTTAAGCAATTTCACACATTTGTTGATTCATGAAATACCGTTTTATTATTATTGAACTTTAATACCGTGATAGGAAATAGGGTGAGAGGTCCTTACTTGTTTCGGGGTCCGAATATGGCTCTACAGTGCGCCCGCAGGCTGTCCCTAATTTTTC